CGTCCTGACATTTGGGGGGATTTGTACCGTCCTGACATTTGGGGGGGGTTTTGTACTGTCCTGACATTTGGGGGGATTTGTACTCGTCCTGACATTTGGGGGGATTTGTACCGTCCTGACATTTGGGGGGATTTGTACTCGTCGTACTGACATTTGGGAGGATTTGTACCGTCCTGACATTTGGGGGGATTTGTACTGTCCTGACATTTGGGGGGGATTTGTACTGTCCTGACATTTGGGGGGATTTGTACTGTCCTGACATTTGGGGGGATTTGTACCGTCCTGACATTTGGGGGGGATTTGTACCATCCTGACATTTTGGGAGGATTTGTACTGTCCTGACATTTGGGGGGATTTGTACTGTCCTGACATTTGGGGGGATTTGTACCGTCCTGACATTTGGGGGGTTTTGTACCGTGTCCTGACATGGGGGGGGATTTGTACCGTCCTGACATTTGGGGGGATTTGTACCTGTCCTGACATTTGGGGGGGGGATTTGTACCGTCCTGACATTTGGGGGGATTTGTACCTTCCTGACATTTGGGGGGATTTGTACCGTCCTGACATTTGGGGGGGGATTTGTACCGTCCTGACATTTGGGGGGATTTGTCCTGTCCTGACATTTGGGGGGATTTGTACTGTCCTGACATTTGGGGGGATTTGTACTGTCCTGACATTTGGGGGGATTTGTACTCTCCTGACATTTGGGGGGATTTGTACCGTCCTGACATTTGGGGGGGGGGATTTGTACTCTCCTGACATTTTGGGGGGATTTGTACCGTCCTGACATTTGGGGGGATTTGTACTGTCCTGACATTTGGGGGGGGATTTGTACTGTCCTGACATTTGGGGGGATTTGTACTCGTCCTGACATTTGGGGGGATTTGTACTGTCCTGACATTTGGGGGGATTTGTATTTGTACCTGTCCTGACATTTGGGGGGATTTGTACCGTCCTGACATTTGGGGGGATTTGTACCGTCCTGACATTTGGGGGATTTGTACCGTCCTGACATTTGGGGGGGATTTGTACCGTCCTGACATTTGGGGGGGATTTGTACCGTCCTGACATTTGGGGGGATTTGTACCGTCCTGACATTTGGGGGGATTTGTACCGTCCTGACATTTGGGGGGATTTGTACCGTCCTGACATTTGGGGGGATTTGTACTGTCCTGACATTTGGGGGGATTTGTACTGTCCTGACATTTGGGGGATTTGTACTGTCCTGACATTTGGGGGGATTTGTACTGTCCTGACATTTGGGGGGATTTGTACCGTCCTGACATTTGGGGGGATTTGTACCTCCTGACATTTGGGGGGATTTGTACCGTCCTGACATTTGGGGGGATTTGTACTGTCCTGACATTTGGGGGATTTGTACTGTCCTGACATTTGGGGGGATTTGTACTGTCTCTGACATTTGGGAGGGATTTGTACTGTCCTGACATTTTGGGGGGATTTGTACTCTCCTGACATTTGGGGGGATTTGTACCGTCCTGACATTTGGGGGGTTTTGTACCGTCCTGACATTTGGGGGGATTTGTACCGTCCTGACATTTGGGAGGATTTGTACTGTCCTGACATTTGGGGGGGATTTGTACTGTCCTGACATTTGGGGGGATTATGTACTGTCCTGACATTTGGGGGGATTTGTACTGTCCTGACATTTGGGGAGATTTGTACTGTCCTGACATTTGGGGGGGATTTGGGACATTTGTACTGTCCTGACATTTGGGGGGATTTGTACTGTCCTGACATTTTGTACTGTCCTGACATTTGGAAGGGATTTGTCCTGTCCTGACATTTGGGGGGATTTGTCCTGTCCTGACATTTGGAAGGGATTTGTACCATCCTGACATTTGGGGGGGATTTGTACTCTCCTGACATTTGGGAGGATTTGTGCCGTTCTGACATTTGGGGGGTTTTGTACCGTCCTGACATTTGGGAGGATTTGTACTGTCCTCATACTTGGGGGGTTTGGTACTGTCCTCATATTTGGGGGGGATTTTTCCTGTCCTGACATTTTAGGACCTCAAGAAATGAGATAGCAGTAAGTACATCAGGATTGATCGATTTTCAATGATACATACCATCAAGGCTTTTTTTTTCTCAGAGAATAGATGCAGGTACTCCCCCCCCCTTCCAAGTTACCCCCTTGTCCCCACCCCCCCACCTACCTCTGAACACCATCCCTTGGTTCCCCCCCCCCTACCCACCTCCCAGTACAGCCCTTTTTAGAGAATACAGAACCAAGGATCATTTTGTGGGGCTAAGTAATTCATATTTTATTAATCACAACAAGAAAAGCAATAAAATAGATCCTCTGCAGCCAGCAACTCCCCTGACAGATCTCCCCTCCAGCAATAATAGACCTTCCTACAACAAATCACCACCCATGCAATGATAGGACCCCCCACTCACAACAATAGACCCCCATCAACAACAATAGATCCCCCATTAGCCAGTATCCATGACTCTCAAGCAACCAGCAACAATAGGCACCCTCCTGAGAGACCTCCTGGCAACAACTGCCCCGCCACCAGCAACAGTAGAACTTCCTGGCAATAACAGATCCCCCAGCAGCCAGTAACAATAGACCCTCCAGCACCATGACATACCTTTGGTGCTGGAGGTGCCGGAACTGCATACCCCCCTCCCCCTGCATGCCTCTTGCCATTGGTTGTCTGTGGAAAGTGCTCAGAGCAGAGACAGTCTGCCATTGTAAAATGTCCAACTCCTTCCTAGTAGCTGTTGGCTTGGCCATAGCAGGCCAGGAGGAGGACCTCATAGCCAGGGCACTTCCCGAGGGCTCAGGGTCAGTAGGGGGCCCCATGAAATGCCCCTGATACCTTTTTTTACAGGCTTTTTTGAGTGTGGGCAAGGACACAGGGGCCCCATGATCCCCTATTGCCCAGGGGCCCCATAAGTTGTCAGTCCGCCCCTGCTCATAGCTAATGTAGCACCCTCTTAGGTGCTAGGACAAGTAGATTATAGCAGGTTCCTGTTTAACATGAGAACTGTTAGGAAAATTTTATCAGGCGTTCTGCTTAACAGAGGGCTGCAATTGTTTAGTAGTGCTTGCTCCATGTGTTCAAGGTCTGCTAGTTCTTCCTCTGTATCCAAGTAACCTAGGCAGGTTCTGGATATACTGTATAGGTGGAACTCATACACAGCACCAAGTACTGAGCCATGGATCTTTCCTGGAGAGGATTGTACCAGCCTGGGTGAAGGCACACTGTCTCCCTAGGCACCTGATGCCATGTGCCCTCAGGTGGTTGACTTGAGGGCCTAAAGTACAAGAGAGAGTGACCATGGTTCTTCAGTACAATGACTGAGAGGAACTGTCTGCCAAAGATCTCTGTAGTGTCACTGGAGGGCATCACTTGAAGACTGTAAGGAGCCTACCATTCTGACCTTGGGCCTTGTGAGTACAGACCCTGTGGGATCTTGGAGACTTTGTGTGCTTTGCTACCCCTCTGGTATTATATAGTCAGCATGGGCCTAAAAAGGGGAACACCAGCTGGCGTCCTGAAGAGCTCTGTCCGTTTAACCCCTTTCTGACATTGGGAATTTGCTATCTAAGGAAGTTCTGTCATCAGTTGTAACTAGATCTATTCCTGGAGTATCCTACTAAATTCCACATCCCTATCCAAGTTCTCCAATAATAAAATGAAACAAGCAACAACCCCTAGACTGAGCATTAGAGACAACGAACCAAAGTGTGTGTGTGTACCTGGCTGTGAAACTACCTTGTGCCTGGCTATGAGGAGACGTTTGGAGGCAAGCTATGGGGGGAATACCTGGGCAGTACTACAGCGGCTCCTAGTGCTACACTAGACTTAGAAAACAACAAATACGCTCTCCACTCTATTAGGTCCACCATGCTAGCGCCAAGGAAGTCTCCCCCATACCATGACACCACCACGACCAGCCTGAACCGTTGATACAAGGCAGGATGGATCTACCACACCATGACACCACCACCAGCCTGAACCGTGGATACTAGGCAGGATGGATCCAGCACACCATGACACCACCACCAGCCTGAACCGTTGATACAAGGCAGGATGGATCTACCACACCATGACACCACCACCAGCCTGAACCGTGGATACTAGGCAGGATGGATCCACCACACCATGACACCACCATGACCAACCTGAACAGTTGATACGAGGCAGGATGGATCCACCACACCATGACACCACCACAACCAGCCTGAACCTTTGATACAAGGCAGGATGGATATACCACACCATGACACCACCACCACTAGTAGATCAGCAGTTTTTGCAATACTCAGTCCAGCCCGTCTGGCACCAATAACCATGCCATGTTTAAATCCCCTTTCTTCCCCATTCTGATGCTCGATTTGAGCTTTAGCAAGTCACCTTCACCACGTCAGGATGCCTACATGCATTGAGTTACTGCCATGTGATTGGCTGATTAGCCATTTGTGTTACCAGGCAGTTGAACAGGTGGACCTAATAAAGTGGCTGGTGAGTGTATTTTATCCCATCGAAGAACTAGCAACATACACTTTGTCCCACAGATGAAAGAACAGGTCTTGTCCCTCCCCCAGTCTGTGACTAGATAGACTCTGATTGGCTCAGTGTACTGCTTTTCCCTTCCCCCATCTGAGTTTTGCTGTAAAGGGACTGCAAGCGGCTGATATCGAGCTACATTTAGACTCAATGCTTTACTTAAACGATCAGTCAATTTCGTATTTACATTGTGGTCCCAGGTGATGGCGCAATACTTAGGTGCAAACAGAACATTTGATAAATGAGGAGAGCCAAATCTAGGAGCAGCCCATGTCTTCAGGGGATTGTCAGAGTCCTACTTCCCCTTAAGGGGGGGTGTTACAGAATATGGCTTGCTGCCTTGGTACCCACACTGCTTCCAATGACCAACAGAGAGGCAGACTCCCACCCAAGTTATTTTATACACCATATTGCCAAAAGTATTGGCCTCGCCCTCCCAATCATGTCATTCAGGTGTTCCAATCCCCTCCATATCATGTGATTCAGGTGTTCCAATCCCCTCCCAATCATGTGATTCAGGTGTTCCAATCCCCTCCATATCATGTGATTCAGGTGTTCCAATCCCCTCCATGGACACAGGTGTATACAATCAAGCCCCTAGGCATGCAGACGGCTTCTACAAACATTGGTGAAAGAATGGGTCGCTCTCAGGAGCTCAGTGACTCCAAGCGTGGTCCCGTGATAGGTGGCCACCTGTGCAATAAGTCCATCTGTGACATTTCCTGGTCACTAAATATTCCACGCTCAACTGTTAGTGGGATTATAACAAAGTGGAAGCAACTGGGAACAACAGTCACTCAACCACCAAGTGGTAGGCCACGTCACATGACAGGGCGGGGGTCAGCACATGCTGAAGCGCACAGTGCGCAGAAGTCGCCAACTGTCTGCAGAGTCAATAGCTAAAGACCTCCAAACTTGATGTGGCCTTCAGATGAGCCCAACAACAGTGTGTAGAGAGCTTCATGGAATGGGTTTCCATGGCCGAGCAGCTGCATCCAAGCCTTCCATCACCAAGTGCAATGCAAAGCGTCGGATGCCGTGGTGTAAAGCACGGCGCCACTGGACTCTAAAGCAGTGGAGACGTGTTCTCTGGAGTTACCAATCACGCTTCTCTGTCTGGCAATCCAATGGATGTGTCTGGGTTTGGCGGTGGCCAGGAGAACGGTACTTGCCTGACTGCATTGTGCCAAGTGTAAAGTTTGGTGGAGGGGGGATTATGGTGTGGGGGTGTATTTCAGGGGTTGGGCTTGGCCCCCTAGTTCCAGTGAAGGGAACTCTTAAGGCGACATTTTGGACAATTTCATGCTCCCAACTTTGTGGGAAGAGTTTGGGGATGGCCCCTTCCTGTTCCAACATGACTGCGCACCAGTGCACAAAGCAAGGTCCATAAAGACATGGAGGAGCCAGTTTGGGGTGGAGGAACTTGACTGTCCTGCACAGAGTCCTGACCTCAACCCCATAGAACACCTTTGGGATGAATTAGAGCGGAGACTGCAAGCCAGGCCTCCTCCCCCGACATCAGTGCCTGACCTGACAAATGTGCTTCTGGAAGAATGGTCCAACCTTCCCATAGACACCCTCCTAAACCTTGTGGACGGCCTTCCCAGAAGAGTTGAAGCTGTTATAGCTGCAAAGGGCGGGGCCAACTCAATATTGAACCCTACGGACTAAGACTGGGAGGCCATTAAAGTTCATGTGCGTGGAAAGGCCGGCGGCCCAATACTTGGGGCAATATAGTGTATGTATTGCGGCCTTCAAGTGGTTAAGCCCCCAGTCCCAAAGCCAAAACAGGAAGTGAGAGGAAATCCCAAAGTGAGGGAATCCCAGAACTAGTGTCCCCATTGGAGGATTTCCACTTTTATTACTTTCTGGGGACAACCAAAAAAATGTGGTATTTTCTTTTACTTTCACTCTCAGTGTTGACTGGAAACAGAAAAACTAGAGAAGGGGAAATCTCCTTAATGGGGGCACAGCCAGCAATAAAGACCTAATAGATATTCCAATCCATCTCCACTCTGCCTCCAGTAAATGGCCTTTAGTTATACTCGTATTCCCGGTTGTGTTCAGCACATTAGCAGTCATTAGGAGGAAGTATGTTCTGCCGTCTCCGAGGGGGAGTCACTTGGGAGCTTGTCCGGGATCTTCTGTATAAATATACCTGAGCAGACTCACCTAATGAGGCGTCTAGCAGAAGTGTGTCCTGCTCTGCACTGTACGGTGATTCCCAATGACACCAGAGGTAGGTGTGCAGACAATGGGGAAGGTGAGGAACTCTCTTCCTTGCAATTGATAAGAGACAGAACAACAGAGACAGCCAAAGAATAGGAGGTGCTAGGTGACCAAACCAAACATTTCTGTATGATCTGCCGGGCTCTCGAGGTTCCAAGTCTGCTCAATCCAACCAATAGAAGGTCTGTTCTCCTTTCTTCTCTGGAGGACCTTTAACATCTACCCCACTGTAAAATGGGGCATCTCTATCCTACTTTGTTGCACCAACCAGGGCTGGGACAGGGGGTGGGCTGGAGGGGTGGATGCCCTGGGCACTGTGGTATCATGTGAGGGGGGGTACCATAAGGAGATTGGAGGGAGGGGATATGTGTTGAGGAGGGGAATTTGATGAGTGGGAGGGCTGGGGGTAAGAACCGTTCTAGGAGGGGAAATTTGAGTTTGCTAGGAGTGGTGATTTGGGGGAGGGGAATACTTCTGTCCTCTTGAACTGTCCATCAGGGATACTTAGTTGTACCAACCAGGGCTGGGACAGGGGTGGGCAGGAGGGGCGGCTTCCCTGGGCACTGTGGTATCATGTGAGGTGGGGGGTACCATAAGGAGATTGGAGGGAGGTGATATGTGTTGTGGAGGGGAATTTGAGGGGTGGGAGGGCTTTGGGTAAGAACTGTTCTAGGAGGGGAAATTTGAGTTCGCTAAGAGTGGTGATTTGGGGGGGGGGGGGATACTTCTGTCCTCTTGAACTGTCCATCAGGGATACTTAGTTGCACCAACTAGGGGGGTGGGCAGGGGGGGCGGCTTCCCTGGGCACTGTGGTATCATGTGAGATGGGGGGGGGGGCACCATAAGGAGATTGGAGGGAGGTGATATGTGTTGTGGAGGGGAATTTGAGGGGTGGGAGGGCTGGGGGTAAGAATTGTTCTAGGAGGGGAAATTCAAGTTTCTAGGAGTGGTGATTTGGGGGGGGGGGGATACTTCTGTCCTCTTGAACTGTCCATCAGGGATACTTAGTTGCACCAACCAGGGCCGGGACTAGGGGTGGGCAGGAGGGGTGGCTGCCCTGGGCACTGTGGTATCATGTGAGGTGGGGGGGGGGGGGGGCGGCACCATAAGGAGATTGGAGGGAGGGGATAAGTGTTGTGGAGGGGAATCTGAGGGGTGGGGGGGCTGGGGGTAAGGATTGTTCTAGGAGGGGAAATTCAAGTTGCTAGGAGTGGTGGGGGGGGGGAATACTTCTGTCCTCTTGAACTGTCCATCAGGGGCACCACCAGGGCTGGGACATGTGGGCAGGAGGGGTGGCTGCCCTGGGCACTGTGGTATCATGTGAGGTGGGAGGGGGCACCATAAGGAGATTGGAGGGAGGGGATAGTGTTGTGGAGGGGAATCTGAGGGGTGGGGGGGCTGGGGGTAAGGATTGTTCTAGGAGGGGAACTTCAAGTTTGCTAGGTGTGGTGATTTGGGGGATCCACCCAAAGTGGATCCAGAAAAAGGCAAAAAAAACCCCAGCAAAGCACTTTTGCTTGTCTATAGATTCCACTATATATTTTATTTATTTATTTATTTAGCAAAAGAAGGCCTGCAATAAACAAAATACAAAAACAAAAAACATTTTATATATATATATATATATATATATATATATATATACACACATATACATACAGAGAGGGAGAGGGGGGAGAAGAGAGAGAGAGGGGGGGGATCAGAGAGAGGAGAGAGAGAAGAGAGAGAGGAGAGAGAGGGGGGAGAGAGAGGGGGAGAGAGAAATCAGAGAGGAGAGAGAGAGAGAGAAAGAGAGAGGAGAGAGAGAAATCAGAGAGGAGAGAGAGAGACAGAGAGAGGAGAGAGAGGGGGAGAGAGAGGGGGAGAGAGAGAACTCAGAGAGGAGAGAGAGAGAAAGAGAGAGGAGAGAGGGGGGGGGAGGGGGGAGAGATGGGGAGGGGAGAGAGAGAGAAAAAGAGATAGAGAGAGGGGGGTGGAGAGAGGGGGGAAGAGAGAGAGACAGAGGGGGGGTGGGGGAGGAAAAGAGAGGGAGAGGGGGGGAGAGGGGGAGAGGAAGAGTGAGAGGGAGAAAGAGAGAGAGAGGGGGGAGGAGAGAGAGGGAGCATTGCAAGATTGACAGTTACAAGCATCAGTCCCAAAGGCAAAGGCATGATGGGACTTGTAGTTTCACAACAGCTGGAGGGCCGCCAGTTTGACTCCCCTGCTTTAGAAGATTTCCTCAGTGATAAAGCACATTTGCTACATGGATTGGCCTTTGTCATTGACCATTCGATTCCTTTTCACCGCTGTTCTCTCAAATCTGCCTTTCCCTTTCTGCAGTGCAAAGTCCAGGCTGTATATATCATTCGGCAAATTATACATTCATTAGACCTATTCACTTTTAAAAGGTATCTACACTCATGTTTTGGATGGAGTAGGGAATGGTCAAAACCCGCGGTTTTTACTTGTGAGGGGAGTTGCAAAGATTGACCAAGCAGAAGAGCAGGCATGTGCAGGAGTAAGGGAGAATAGCAAAGGTGGAGAGTGCCCAAGGAGGAGAGAGGGAATGGCTCTAACAAGAGGGAAAATGGCCAGAGAGGGAGCAAATATGTGGGTGTGGAGGAGAAAGGCCAAGTGCATGGGTGGGAATGGAGGAGAATGGGCAAAGAGGAGAGCAGGCATGGGTGGTAGTATACAAAAATTGGAAAATAGTAGAGCAGGTTTGGGTGGGAGTTGAGTAGAATGGGCAAGGAGGAGGGCAGGCATGGGTGGGAGTGGAGGGGAATGGCCACAGATGAGAACATGCATTGGTGGGAGTGGAGGAGAATGGGCAAGGAGCAGAAAGGGCATGGGCTGGAGGGGAGAAGAATGACCAAGCAGAAGAGCAGGCATGTGTAGGAGTGTTGAAGAATATCAAAGGAGGAGAGTGGCCAAGGAGAAGAGAGGGCATGACTGGCAAAAGAGGAGAAGGATGAGAGGAGGAAGCAAAAATGAGTGGAGGAAGCAAAAATGAGTGGGAGTGGAGAAGGGCCACAGATGAAAACATGTGGACATGGAGGAAAATGGGCAAAGAGGAGAAAGGACATCAGGAGGAGCAAAGGAGAATGGGCAAGGAGGAGAGAGGGCAATGGTTGGCATGAAGAAGAATGGGTGAAAGTAGAGTAGAATGGGCAAGGAGAAGAGTAGGCATGGGTGGGAGTGGAGGTGAATGGCCACAGAAGAGAACATAATTGGTGGGAATGGAGGAGAATTGGCAAAGAGGAGAAAGGGCATCAGTGGAAGTAGAGAAGAATGGGCAAGAAGGAGAGAGGGCATGGGTTGGAGTGGAGCAAAATGACAAAGCAGAAGAGCAAGCATGTGTAGAAGTGGAGGACAATAGCAAAGGAGGAGAGTGGCCAAGGAGGAGAGAGGGCATGGCTGAGAGAAAAGGAGAATGGTGAGAAAGGAAGCAAAAATGAGTTGGAGTGGAGAAAGTCCACAAATGAGAACATGCATGGGGGGGAATAGAGGAGAATGGGGAAAGAAGAGAAAGGGCATCAGTGGAGGAAGAAGAGAGAGGGCAAGGGAGAGAGCATGCATGGTTGGGAGTAGAATAG